CGACCAGTTGCCGGAAAAGAGGCCGGTGGTAGGGAAGGCCAAGGCATCGGCTGTTCTCACCTACATGGAGTTCACCACTATCCCAGATCAGCGCGTAAATGTTGCTTCATCCAAATAGCCCTTTCAGTCTCGTGGTATGTTACGCTGTTGTGGCCACGTTTACCTTTGATGTGGCTCCATTTTTCCCCGGCAAATTCTGTACAAATTCTCCCCTTAATCCAATCATACAAAGAGGACATTTTACACTAAATTTTGTATTCATTCGCACTTTGTCTCTCTTCCACACTGTTTCGCGTTCAAACGTTTTCGATTTAGTTAATATTCCTTTCAGTAATCTCGTAGGAGCGCTTTCTTGTATGATTCGTTCTTCCGTCCATTTTGCGTGAATAAATTTAATGGGGTATCGATTTTATTCATTTTCCAAACTTCTATACTTAGATGAACAATGGTTCTTTTAAAATCTGCCCACCTCGGACATAACGAGTTCAATGCTAACGTCTCATAATTTACATAAATTGTTGGCAGTCGTGCGGTTAATCGCGATTTGCATTTTTGCCTTTTTGGTATTCAAACTCTAGGTCTCACCAAGATATCTCAGTAGTAGAAATGGTAACATCCTTGCTCATTTATTTAATTTCGCCTAGACGTGACCAATTTGTATCGGTCTAACGACCACAGTTTTCGGTTCATGTACTGTTTAACAAAAGCACAAAATACGCCGATATGAGACATTTCCCACAAGACTCAGATGCTGCGGTAATACAAACGCAAATAAGTACATAAGTTAACGTGTTCTCGTAAACAATTGCAACATGTTGGCCGGGCGCTCGATGTTGCTCATGACTTGTGCCTGTCGTATTGCTGACCTCAAGCGGAACATAGTGATGTCGCTCGGACGAAGCGAACATTTCGGTGCAGCAGCATGTGAAATCAAAGATTCCCATGCACTTTTAGTTAATTCTGCAGACTATCGTCATCTGCTGATGCTGCAGGCTGTAAGAAGATGGTATGTTAGGCTGCCCTGATGAAGCTCCTAGCCATAGTGGTGAAGGCGGT